GTGTGTGCAGAAGTTGAAGATGCATAAAGCTGCATTAAACATGCAGAAACATGTACACACAAAAACCTTTCGGCTTTCTCCCAAAAGGCTAGCTGCTGCTGAATCACTGATGCTGTGTTTTTGTGACTATGTGTGTGTCTGTGTGCTTTTGTGTGTCTGTGTGCATGTTTGTGTGGGTGGAGCAAAACACTGCAGGCTACACAGCTGCAAAATCATTATGAGCTCTCTCTATATAATGGATCCTGGCTCACATCCATACAGTCAAACCAAAAACACCATGAGATGCTCACATATGCAGACGCAAACTCGCAAACGGCACGCATTAAGCTCACGCTTACAGCCAAATGCGCAAATGTCACTGCCACACACGACGCACACATCCCAACATCTACTGGCATCACAAGGAGGAAGGTGGGTGATAAATGAAGTTGTATTTATATCTTGGTGCGTCACATCTCAAGATGTCCCCAGACTCTCATCGTCTTAACTCCTGCTCTGCAAACTTGCAAAGCATTTGACGTCTTCTCTCCGTACTTTCACAGATTTTATTGTTTGTCTGAGTGATTGGCTTGGAGGAGACGTGGCCTTAGAGTGCATCCAGGCCACACCACACATTTATTCTATTCTTCTCATGATCTTTCTTTTGTACCTCCAGGACTTCACGCATCTTAACTATCTTCAAAATACACTCAGCTCATTTTCTCAACACAGACGAGTGTATGATAGGCAGCCGCAAGCCTTAAGTGGCTTGACTGAATTTGCATGCAAGAAGGATGCTTATACAATCAAAGTAATAATTTGGCATTTTGAAACGATGCACTGATTTGCATTCTCGCTGATTGTTAGATGAGAAGATAAATGCCACGTCTGTGATGTCGTTTTGTCTTGATTTTCTATGCGTTGTGTTCTTCTTCTGAGGAAAACCGGCTCAGGACTGCAAAGGGAAAAAAAAACTTTTTGTGAAATCCGATACATTTGGATGAGCCATCCATCTATCATCATCTTAACCACTTCACCGATTCAGGGAGAAAAAAGAAAAGATTACGGGTGTTTCCGGAAATTGCACAGGTTTACAAGAAAATGATGAATTTCATAACATTTTGAAAGTTTGCAGTGAACAAATGAGATTAAAGTTACAAATTTATGAGAAATGTTGCAGAAACTGTCTTTTTGTAAATGAGCCGCAACACTTCATTTTGCAAGTGGGATCACCATCACGCGACAGAGGCTACGAGTAAACAAGGAGCGCTGCCAATTTCATTCAGACCAGTGTGTTATTTTCTTCTAAACAGGCACAATTCAGGGTCATGTCCAGATGCTTATGATAATATGATGATTCACTAAAATACTGAGTTTATCCTTACTGCCGAGTCAGATTTTGAAGTGTAATTTGCATGGCCAGGCATAAAAATGGCAAGTGGGCCACATGTGTGATGTAATGAGGTTGTTCCCACTTTACAAAGGGTAGCCATGAGGTTCATTAAAAATGATGACTTTAATCTCACAGACCATGCAGTACTCTGCAAGTCTTGAGTTGCCTCTTATTTCTTCACTCATTTCTTTGTATGCTGCTACAAAGACAACGAGAAATAGGTGCAGCGATTTATTGAAATGTGCAAACATATTCAGAAATTAAGTTGCCTGGCAAAAAAACACAAAAAACTCTTTGAACAGGGTCAGCTACAAGGACTGGAAATAACTAAAAAGAACAGCTAAAGAGAAACTCTAAAAGACCTGCAGAAAGCCTGTGAACTCAAAACTATCTTAAATATGACAACAAGTTTGACTACTTTGGCGGTAAATGTATAAAAATGAAGGACTTTTGCACAGCTCTGTATGTGTTGACCCAGCTCAAACTTCTATTTTACCTACAATGGCATTAATACGCTGCTGTAGCTGCCCCGTGTGAATAGTAAAACTTCATAGCTGAAGCCAAGAAACAGCACACCATACTTAGTTGAAGTGAGAAGGTGAGTGCACATTTTGTAAGATGTGCACTCACTCATCTCGGGGTCTGTGAGATAGCAAAAGTCCTTTTTGGGGGGTTTTGTGCACTTTTCCTGTGTTTTTTTAATTTTATTTTGAAGGCTCATCTTCAGCTGTATATAGAGAACAAGAACAAAGCCAAACAAAGCTGATCTGACAGCACAGATAGCTACAGTATTGGAGCTGCTTTTTGCTGAAATATTAGTTGAATCATTTTCAAATTGCTCTTTTTCATTTTTTGAAAGAGTAAATGACATTTTCCTTCTATTCCAGTTAAAGGGACTCGTGAAAATTGCAACATTAATTAATTCACTACTCTCAATAGATGGCAGGTTTTTCTTGGTCTGATATGAACAGGAGCTATAGTGACTGTAAGTTCATTCATTCATTAAACTAATAGCTTTTACTTCACTACATTTATTGTTGGGTTGCCATTATCTTGAAATGGCCACTCATTGGTAAACTCTCTTCTGATTGGAAGTTATATTGGATATATTTGTTACAGTCCAACCACATTATATATGTCTTTTTATTTGTTTGTTTGTTTGTTTTTGTCCGTCTACCTTCATCAGGTTGTGAAGGTTGTAGGAAGCAACATCTCCCACAAACTCCGCCTCTCCCGAGTCAAGCCGTCTGACGAGGGCACATACGAGTGCCGCGTCATTGACTTCAGCGACATCGAGGGCGCGCGTCACCACCGCGTCAGAGCCTACCTGCAGGTGGTGCCGGAGAGCGACGTAATCAGCCGTAACCCCAGCAACAACTTTGAGGCCATGGACGACACCAAGAGAGGAGTGGGATTCTCTGACGGGGACGACGGGGAGTCTCTCGGTGGCACCAAAGAGCACGCTCACAGCCATCACCAGAATCACGGGCACCACCAGGAGCACGGCAAGCGTTCTTCTTCACCTGCACACCACAGCCACGGCAGCAGCAGCAGCAGTCAGCAACACAAGGCGGGCAGAGAGCTGAGGAAGAGGGACGTGGACAGTAACCACAGTAGCCACAATGACTGCACCAACGAACCGAGCTGTGCGCTGTAGATGGCATTACACAAGGATTGCATAATATGATGTGTGTCACAGCATAAAAAAGCTATTCTTCCCACACAGTGCAGGCCTGTGCACAAATCCAGAATCTCTAGAAAATGTCCAGTATGGCTTATTCTAAGCACAGGGCTGCAAACTGTGCAGGGAATGTAGCTTTTTCTCGCTGTGCATGGGTCTGGGTTGGACTGCTCACCTGTCTGTAAAGCCTGGCTTCACAGCATTCAGCAAAAGGGTGGGAAGGGGGAGGGGGGTGCTGATGTGTAGATCTAGGCAGCTCCACAGGTTCTGGTCTCAGCACCAATTATAAAAAAAGAAAAGAAAAAAGAGACTTCTGTCTTACTATTAACCCGTGCTCTGTTCCACTCTTGTACTTTAGATACTGTAAAAGACACACTCTGCTTTCATGCTCATACTTCTTCCACTGCCTTACTCTGTCATTTGATACACCCTCAGAAAAGAAAGGCTGATATTGTACATTTTATAACTGGGTCTGTCCCCAGTAGAAAAAAATCCTCCCTTTTATTCTGAGAGTATTCTGAATGAAACTCAGCCTACTTCTTTCCCTGAAAATCTTTTTCAGCTTCATTGCATCTTTTTTTTTCTCTTCTGTGTGCATTCGATAAGTATACAGCCACACATCGACAAGTGTTCTCCCTGTGTTCCCAGAGCAGTAGTGCTTATCCAGCACAGACACAAGTCTTAAATCACAGATACATCGATAGTTTGAAAAGAGAGAGATTTTAAATCAAACCAACAACAACACGGGCTCCATCCTCCCCGCAGAGCTCTTTTGAGTTTATGACGCCTCTCTGAAAATTTGCCTTCCCTCGCTCGTGCTGCAGGTTTGATCCACTCATGGCTGTTCACGCTGAGAGAAATCAATCAATCAAATCGCTCCATGCGGACCCCACCCTATTGGAAAGCCATGAAACGGTCAAATCCCAATGCCTCTAAATTAAACAGATTTGGTGTGCCTCTGAATCCTGACTATAAATACATAGAAGGAACAGATCGTGATCTTCGTGAAACAAACTTCCCCCTTTTATGGAGGAGCTGGGCTGTATTCCTCTCCCAGCTTAGTTCTTTTATTCCAGTGCTCTGGCCCAGTTCTTATCAGTCATTTTAAAAGAAAAAAGCCTCAATCCTCTCCACTACAAGCCTCTAAAACCCACCCTGTGTACATGACTGTAAAATATGAATTAAAGCTAGTGCATGTTTAGTGATTTTCTTAAAAAAAAAAAGACTTTTGCAGCCAACCAATAAAAACAGTGTTACCTGAGTTTACTTATATTGTAAAAAAAAAAAAAACATCATTCTGTTCCAAATCCATATTTTACTTTTAAAGTCCTTTCAACTAGATCTTTTAGTTTTTAAGCAGTTTTCTGTTGCTTTCCTGCTTTCCAAAAGTGCTGTACAGACAGATGAATGATACATTCTCTCCATAGCTGCTCAGAAAGGGGGGCTCCCCTAATGTATCTTAGTACTTCAGCAGTGTTTCTTAAACTACTGTATTTGCAGGGCAGCAAACATGAGTGTAATCACATAATAATGAGCCTGAACATGTGTGTCTGAAAACGTCTGAGGGGCCGTTTTACTTCTGCCATTTTCAAGAATAATCTCTTTGCTTAGATGCTTGTACGAAACCTCATCTGTAAAGGTGAAGGGGAGGCTTTCTGGGCTGTAGGTTACTCTTAAGGGATCAGTTGGGACAATGTGGACATGGGTAACACTTTGGATAAAGCCTTCAGCGGTGAGGGGGTAAAGTAAGAGGAAATGTTAGTGAAACACTGAAATCGTCTGCCTCAAAATATATTCTTGGGTTTCAAAGGCCATGAATGGTTCCACTTCTTTGGTGTATTACTCTCCAGAGGGACAACAGTGCTGCTGTTACTATGAGCAGCCTTCAGGAGGCTTGTTTAATGGTTTAAAGCGGTGATCAGCAGAATTATTTTTCAACCAGTAATTTGATTTGATGTTTTGTAAAGAAGAGATTACTGTTGGGGTGAAAAAAAAAGAGGGAAATGTACATTTCTTCTAGAATGTTTGGTCTCTCACTAAGTGTATGCCTTTATCAAATGAAATAAATTGTATATGAAACAATGGAGTTTGAGTACTCACTACACATTTCTACCTAAGTGGGTGTTTTTTGCTGTTCTTCGCCAGTTGCAGTTTACCTTTATGGCCCCTTGCTCTGCGTGTGCCTGTCCATGTGCATCAAGGAGCAGCGATGTTCGGCAGTTGCCTGCGTGTAATAGGTGCTGCCAGATTCCCCTCATCCTATTGCTGCTGATGACTAATGGTGCTATTGTCAGTACTGGCAGCAGGATAAATAGCAACAGCACCGGATGAGATAAAGAGGCGCTGTGCCGTGCTCGCTAACATTAAGCCAGGCCAGCTAAATACAAAACGTGGTGATCTTGTTTCCCCACACTAAACGCGTCATACATCCATTATGGAGCGGTGAGGTGGGGAGGTCCCGGGCTCTCCCATCAGTGAGGAGATAATGGAAGAGACATTCTGCTTCCTTCATTTACACATCTCTTGAACCCTGCAGGGCTCTGACTGATAACAATGATAGATCGGCCAGCATCCTTGTCACTATGTCAAGCAACCTCTGCCTTAATAGGGCACAGTCTGTTCTAACCAGAGCTAGATTTGCCATAGAGTTTCCAAAGGATCTTGAAGCACTTCCTTTACTAATTGCTGAAAATCAAAAAATAAAATTAAAACTCTGTCCGTGTTGTCTTACTACAACCATCAAAAAGTAGGACACAAATGTAGAGCTTAAAAAGAAAAGAAAAATCAATCAACAGCTGTAACCGTATTCATATATATATTTTAATGTTTTGTATTTTTTTAGTGGCTCCTTGGTGGAGGAGACACCCACCCTCAGGGCTTCCAAAGCTAGTACACTCGTACTGCTGGTCCCAAGCCTGGATAAATGAGACGATTACATCAAGAAGGTCATATGGTGTAAAAAATGTGTTTGGATCCATCTGCTGAGACTCCCTCCTCGGGAAAATACAGTGGGCCAAAAAAAGTATTTAGTCAGCCACCGATTGTGCAAGTTCCCCCACCTAAAATGATGACAGAGGTCAGTAATTTGCACCAGAGGTACACTTCAACTGTGAGAGACAGAATGTGAAAAAAAAATAAATCCATGAATCCACATGGTAGGATTTGTAAAGAATTTATTCATAAATCAGGGTGGAAAATAAGTATTTGGTCAATAACAAAAATACAACTCAATACTTTGTAACATAACCTTTGTTGGCAATAACAGAGGTCAAACGTTTACTATAGGTCTTTACCAGGTTTGCACACACAGTAGCTGGTATTTTGGCCCATTCCTCCATGCAGATCTTCTCGAGAGCAGTGATGTTTTGGGGCTGTCGCCGAGCAACACGGACTTTCAACTCCCGCCACAGATTTTCTATGGGGTTGAGGTCTGGAGACTGGCTAGGCCACTCCAGGACTTTCAAATGCTTCTTACGGAGCCACTCCTTTGTTGCCCGGGCGGTGTGTCAATGTTAAAATTATATTTGTAACATACTATACGATGTGTTTCTTGTGACGTGCATAGTAATGAATAGTTTACCTGATGGGCAGTATTTTAGATGTGCTGCTAGGTATGTATTGTGATATTCAGCATGTGTAAGACTGATGATAAATAAAGTACTTCACTGTTATGAATATATCAGTGAAGTAGCCACACTGACCCAGTGCCTGACATCACAGATACATCCAGCACTGTGAGTGTGTCTCACTGATGAGCTGGACTTTAAAGCTTTTAGGTTTTTGTCATGGTTGGCTGTGTGGCAGGCAAGCAGAAGTGGTGGACCCAAAATTGCAGGACTCTTGGAGATGGGAATAAACTGAAAACGCAGCTTTATTGCTGGAGGAATGATTCACGAAATAAAACTTACAAAAACAAAACTCTAAACCGAGGTGCTGGAGGACAGGACATTACAAACACACAGCAAGTTGAGGGTACAACGCGACACTGACACAAAGAAACACAGGGCTTAAATACACAGATAGCAGTAATCAAGGGATGAGAGACAGGAGGGGAACACACCGGGGAGAAATCACAGCTGACGAGACAGGGGAAACGTAAACTGAGCACACTCACATACGACACAGACCTTCACAATAAAACAGGAAACTCAGACACATGGAACCAGACAAGACATTGAACTAAACAGACAGATTCACAAACAGACGGGGTGACACCAAAGACAGACAGATACAGACGCAGACTCAGAGGCAGACCGAATATAACACGTAGAACTCAAACAACAATAATAATCATGATAATAAATTGGAAAATGATAATAATAATAAACTTAAAGCGCTGGGTCACCGACCCAGGACCATGACAGTTTTGGTTGAAAGATGATGCACTCACCTGCACTCATGATTTATTTGAAGCTTTTTTGGGTAGAAACCTTTAAAAAAATGCTGCCAATTTAAATATTATAGACTAACATTTAATAGAAGATATAAGCTGTAGAATTTAAATTATTATTTTTAGCAGGTAATTTGGTTAAAAAGAGACTTCACTTTTTCATCTGCATACACTTTTTTTGGGGTGGGGGTAAAGTATATCATCAAGGATACTGTTTCCTATCTGGACAAACACTTGAAGCCAGCCTTTCAACCCTCTGAGCTACAGACACATTTTAATAGGTGCACACAGCACTATGAGGGACATTCACAATCCCTCTTCTCAAGTGCAGCTTTCACATCAGCAGAATGAAATCCTTTTGAGTTGGGTGATCTTTGGTGATTACCTTTGAAGTTCACGGAAATTTTTTTTTTAAAATTAGGGTCGGCAAAAGCAAAATTGCTTCAAAATGCTCAAACTTGTCGAGTGAAAAGAAATAGAAATTCTAACATTTGTATTTCCTTAACATGCCTGTGAAACACAAAAACTGATCAAACAGAATCAGCAGCTCTTTTCCTAATGTAGAAGACATGTCAGGTGTGGTCCTGGTTTCTTTAATACCTTGCTGTTTATCAGAGCTGTGCACACCATGAAGTTTATGCTTTTTTTGGCACAGCTGATAGACTTTCTTTCAGCTAAATGACCTGTTGGAGTCGTGGTTCAATAAGTCGTCTGTTTGTGAGAAGAGTCAATTTCATCAAGCAGCAGCTCATTAGCTGACTGGCTAGTTAACTGTCTCAGTAACGGAGCCAAACTCCTCCTTGAGCAGTTTGAACACGTTGTCCGAGAACTCGTCTCTCGGCCTGCCCGTGCCGTTCAGCTGCACCGGCAGGAGGTCGGGGTGGTGTGGGATGTAAGAGGACGGGCAGTGCAGCTCATTTAGAGTAAACCAGAAGGTGTCCGGATCCACCTGGATTAAGTGTCGGAACACACTGTGCAGGAAAGGGAAAGAAACATGGGAACAGGATTAGTTCTGAGCTGTGTTTTGCTTTGTACGTAATATCTATTGTATGGAAAACACCTTCCTATAATCCAAAGTGACAGACTGAACGAGTTTTGCTGGCTTTAACATGCAAACCAACAGTTTAACTATAAGCTCATTAACTCAACACTGCCTTTCTCTTCAGGTTTGTTTTTTAAATCACCTCCAAGCAGGAAAATACTTAAATATATTAAAGCGTGTGTTTTTACTTGTGGCTGCCATGTTGCTACCCAAACACTTAGATCAATAATTCAGAGTGATGTGAGTTATAAAAGGCTGCTTGCATACTGCATTCTGAGCTATTTATTTATTTATTTGCTTTTTTTATTCACAACTTCCACCTGTCCTTTACATTACTGTAGGTCTCACAGTGCACACTTTTTGCATCAGATGCCAGTGTAAAGGTGAAACGAGTTCCCTTTCAGATTCGTACACACAGTATTGGGAGATCACGGCCCTACATGTCCTGAAGACACTTCTATTCACGCCTGTACAGCAACTGACCTGTGATGATATGCCACATATAAACTTGTCATCACAGTCATTCCTCACTGTTTATGCTCTTTACCTGGCTAGGAAGACTTTTGCCAAGTTTGCTAGCTATTGCTAGTTAGCTCTGTTGTGTGCCAACCTGACGTTAGCTTAACTGCTCCTGTTGGTTTTAGCCATCACCGCTGAACTACATCTGCATATTTCTGGGAGTTACCTTCTCAAGGGACAAAATTAGTGAGGGTGATATTTAAATAAAGCCCAAAAACTGATTTACTAAAGATTGCAGCAAAGAGTTAAAAGTCTTATATTACAGGTAATATACTTTAAAGTCATGAATACTGGTGTCTGCAATATTTATAAACTCGGCAGCCACTTGGTTCGACATTAAATACAATTATCTAATCATCCAATTAGTATTTCAGTATGTATGTTCAAACTAAGCATCAGAATGGGGAAGAAATGTGGTTTTAGTGACTTGAATGTCGTATGATTGTATTTCATAAAATGCTGATCTACAGGGATTCTTCCAACAGAACCATCCTTAAGGTTTATATAGATGGTCTAATAAAGAGAAAATACCCTGTGTGCTGCAGTTCTCTTGATGAAAATGTCTTGTTGATGCCAGAAGTTAGACGTCTTTACGGACTTTCTCCACAGTATAGTGACTGATTCTGCAGAAAGTTGGCAACCTGCACACTATGTGCCCAGCATCCATTGACCCCACGCTGTGATTTTACATGGCTTACCACTTCGTGGCTGAGATGCTGTTGTCTGCATGTTTAATTCTTGATTTTATAAGCCTGTGGCCATTGAAGTGATTGGAACTCCTGAATTCTGCTGAGATATTTGAATATTACAGCCAGAATTTGGAATTCAATGTGTACTGGTCAAGTCAAGTTGGCTTTATTGTCACTTCAACCATATACAGTTAGTACACAGTGAAGCGAAACAATGTTCCTCCAGGACCAAGGTGCTACATGCAACATAAATTTACAACATCAAAGTACCTAACTTTGATGTACCGCTGCAATATAAAGTCAGATGGCGTTAACTTATTGCCTTCCTAAAAAAAACAACAATTGTTTGATTTGCTGGCCCTACAATGTATGGCCTTTATATTAAACATTTGCTATTAGCAGTAATACAGTTGTTGTCAAATCAACTAAGACTGAAAACTCTGAGATCTGCACTTTAAATATTCATGTAGGATTAACTAGCATTCAAAGTATCAGGAACAAAACACTATTAGTTATTACTGATTAATAGTTAAACACTCCAAATGTGCTTCATTAGGCTGTGTGTTGTGGTTTGATTAGAAACAGACTGAAGATTCATTTGCAGGGCCATGTGAGCGCAGATTTGAAAAAAACAAAACAAGAAAAAAAACAACAACTTGTCTTTTATAAAAATATCAGACCATACTAAATTATCATCAGGCAGGACATGCTAGAATTTCAATACCCAAAGAAAAGTACCGCCTTGCACATAGTTCAAATTCGGGCTTCACAAACATCGAGGTCTGCTTCAGCTGAGAAAACCAAACACAGGACATTTTTACTATATTTTATTCATATAAAAATCTGATTTTTTTTTTTTACTTTTATCCAGAAATTACAACAGAAATCGACTTGTAAAAGAAAATAAAAAAGAATAAAATTCAACAAAGCCAAGTTAATTTCACGGATTAATCACAGCAGCAGAATACAGTTTGAGCTCGGTGCCTGGTCTTCGGGTGGATCACTCCCTGTAAATATGTTACTCATAAAACTCCAGGAGCACACAGGTGGATGCTGGGGTGGTGGATGGGCTGAAACAGCAGGCAGTGGTGCAGTAGGTTGTGAGGAAAGTGGGGCACATTACATGTGCAGCTCCAGGCTTCACTCCATACATGGTTACTGTTATGAGTGCTTGTTTTCTGATTATGTCCAGTGCATGCACATAATGACACTTCTATATCCAAAAGAACAAAACCTTTGAAGATATGATACTGGTTCCAAAAATATGGGGTAAAGATAAGGAGGAGGGAAAGAAGAGGAACTAGGAAAAAGATGAAAGAGTATAAAAAGTAGACCAAGCCTGGACTTTACCTCTGCTAACTCCTAATGAGCTCGGTAAAAGTGCTGAGGTGGTTCAGGTGGAGAATTTCACAGCAGGCTGTTTGCACATCCCTGGA